GGCAGAATTTTTCTGAATAATCAGAGTCCATTGGCAAATCTTATGGAACAACACCTGTGGAAAGAAATAAAAAAAAAAAAAAAAGATAAAACAACATTGTATAGAATATTCTTTTTTAAATAAGGTTGAAATTGTCTGAAATCAGGACAGTGTAATATACAAGTATCACCGGGTCTTGTCCACCAGGCCAGCCGCAGGATCTGCTGCCACCACTGGGGACATTGGCAAGGGAATGACCCTCTAGGGGAGCCGGGGGACCCAGGACGTGGGTCTTGCAGTGGCCAGGGCCTGCTGCTGCCTGGGCATGACATGGTCAGAGAAGGTGGTCGGCACTCACGAGAAAGCATTGGCAGGTGAGATTTCACCAAGGTGAAAACGCACACCCCACACGTGGTCCCACACATGACACGGGTGGGGGTTGGCTGCCCCTTCCCTGACCTGAGGGTGTCACTGTTGTGAGAACCACTGCCTGGGACTCTACTGGGGCAGGCACCCCTACCCCAGGCCTGCAACACCAACCTCTGCTTTTTTGAGGGGTCAGGGGATCAGGCACTCGGACCCAGAGGACCCAGGCCAAGACGGTTTGGTGGCCTCAACCTGGCTCTGGGATGCTTGGCACAGCCCCCTCCCCTGGAAGGGCTAATACTTAGCGCCCCAGTCTGCATGCTGGGCGATTCCACCCTTGTGCCAGGTCCAGGTCCCCTTGTGCGATCTGGGCCCTCAGAGATGCCACAAGTCCAGGCCCCCTAGAGGGGTCCGCTGCCGGCAGTGGATACACTGGCCCTGCCAGGAGTGGCACCATCTGCTCCCCCAGGGCATGGCCGGGCCCCAGCACTCACCATGGGGGTTTCTGGCGCCAACCCTCTTAAGTAGACACTTGGCACAAAAAAAGGACGCTTCTGGGAGAGACAAAAGCGGAAAAGTGGCGAGGGGAGCGGGGGCGCTGCCCGGTTTCCCAGTGGGGCTGATCACCAGAAATGTACCTGCCCCCTTCACAGGGCTCCCCCTCTTCTCCCGCCAGAAGCCAGCAGACAGCCCTGCGCAGAAGGAGACCCAGGCAGGCCTGACAGTGGCAGGTGGGAACTGCTGGTCGGGGTGATCTTATTTGGGCGCTGTTTCTTTTATAATCTGCCAAGGCCAGAAGCAGCTGTCCAGGGTCCCAGAATCGCAGTGGGCGAGGGCAGCACGGGCGATCCATCCTGGGGACAGCTGTGCGAAGCCCAGACCCACAGAGTGCTGCAGTGGTCAGTCAACAGCAGACGAAAGAGCCACCTCCCCAAAAACAGTCCCCTTGTTCCCCACCTTCCGAGTCTTTGGGGGAGAACCAGTCTGGGTGCTTCAGTGCCTAAAGGGGCCCCGGGAGGCGGTCCCCCGGGCTGTGGCTCAGTGCGCAGCCGTGGCCTAGCGGGCTCCCCATCAGACCGTGGCTGTGGCCAGTCAGGCCTGGAAGCTGCCAGGGCCGGCGCCTGCTGCCACCTTCCACGTGGCCCTGGCCAAAGTGCAAGTGCTGGCTTCCCGCTCCTTGGAGGCGGACACAAGTGCTTGGGACAAGGCCACGCATGGAGATGCTGGCCACGTCCCTCTCTACGTCTCCGGTACACACCTGGGAATATTCTGTAAAAGTCCCCACTCTACCCCCACTGTTTCCAGATTGGGGACAACAACAAAGCAGAACAAAACGAAAAGAAATGGCCCCATCCAAGTGGCCTTTGGGTGTTACTGGGGACATCCCTCCAGCCTCCCAGTCCACGTGGGCTCCAGTGGGGTGCACTCCAGCTGGGGCAGGGTGGCCGTGCAGCCCTCTGGAGCCCCTGGGCAGCCCCAAGCAGCCAATGTCGCCCCTAGAGGCACAACCCAGAGGAGGCCCGAGCCTCCATGACTCCAGCCCAGGGACCCTTCCCATCCTCTGCAGAGGGATGGGGTACCTGGCCATATTAGAGGACCCTGGGCGTTTCTTCAACCTGTGAGGTCAGGCGGTTCTTTTTACAAAAAAAAAAAAAAAAAAAGTTTAGACACTTCCCAGGATGGGCGACTGAGGGAGTCCCCCAGCCCCTCTTCAGGAGACCAGTGGGCAAAACACAGCATTGAGTTGTCAAGAGGCCAGGCGCACTGGGCGTCAATAACTTAAAAAAGGGGGAAAATGTCAGTCCCCGAGTCTCCAGGCGTTTCCTGATGAAGAAGAAAAGAAGCGGGAAAGAGAAAGAAAAAGCACATTGGGTTGGAAGGACAGCCGCGGGAGGCTGCTGGTGTGGGGACCCCCATGCTGGCTGGCAAGGGGCTCCGTGAGGCCCAGAGTCGCTGGGGACACGGGGCACTCGTGTGTTTTATGTTTCGTTGGGTGTTTTCTTTTCTTTTTTTTTTTTTAGAAAAAAGCCAGTCATAAGTCAAAGCCGGAAAAAGGCTGCCTTTGCCCGTTGACAAAAGGTGAGAAGGCGCGCGAAGTGTTCGGAGAGATATACATCCTCTGATTACTGTGAAATAAAAACCATTTGTTAAAAATATTAAAAAACAAACAAAACAACTCCTCCGCAGGCAGAGGCCCCGGCCCGGGCTCAGCAGCGCCACCCGGCGGCAGCCGCGGGCTCGGTGTGAAGAAAAGTTTGTCCGGGCCCTTGTCTCCGTCCGGTCTCCCTGGGCCTGGGCGCTTTCAGACCGGGTTGTGCTCCTTGAGGTTGAGCTGCAGGATGGTGCCCTTCACGGCCGCGAGCACGAAGCGGATGTTCTTCGTGTAGATGATTTTGTCGCCGTCGGGGTTCGTGTCCACGAACATCTTCAGGATGAACTCCCGCGCCGCTGGGCGTCCCGCTGGGGCCCGTCGAGCTCGGGGATGGAGCCCACCAGGTGCGAGTACAGGATACTGTCCTCCAGCAGGTCCTTCTTGTTGAGGAAGAGGATGACGGAGTTCTGGAACCAGGGATAGTTGACGATGGTCCGGAACAGGGCTTTGCTCTCCTCCACCCGGTTCTCCTTGTCCGACTCCGCCAGGACTTGGTCGTATTCACTGAGGGCGACGACAAACAGGATGGACGTCAGGTTCCCAAAGCAGTGGATCCGCTTCCTGGAGCCGACCGCTGTCCCCCCACATCCACCATCCTGAAGATAATGCTCTCCAGGTCGAAAGATGCCGGTGGTGGGCATGCGGCCCCGCAGCGCGTCCTGCGGGGTGGGCAGGTGGCCCGAGGCGGCCCTGCGGGCAGCGTCCGTCAGGCAGTACTTGGCCGGGTCCGAGAGCTGGCACTGGCGCCTGCGGTCGCAGCACTCCTGGATGCCAGGGTCCGTCCCACAGGGTCCTGATGGCGCTGACGTACCAGTGCTCGAAGGTGGTCACCGTCTCCACGTCCGCCTCTCGGATCAGGAGCCACTGGCCTTGTTCTGCTCCTCCTTGTGGAGGATCTTCAGCGTCTCCACGGCCCGGATCGTGGCCTGGATGGCGGTGAAGATGTTGTAGTAGACGAGCTTGGTGAAGCCGCGCTTGGCCTCCTCCCAGTAGCAGGCGCCCTGGACGATGCGCGTCTGTTTGATGAAGATGCTCTTCCCGCTCTCGCCCCTGCGGAGCAGCAGCAGCTTGAGCTGGCGCCGGGCGTCACACTCGTCCCCCACAGCTGCTTCTGGATCTCGGCGTTGATCCGCTCCTTCACCTCATCGCTCAGGCAACGCGCCATCACGGACTCCAGAGTCATCGTCCCGGCCCGGCCGCCGCCCACCGGCCCCC